AAATAAATTAATTCGGCCTTCTAGTTCCTTTAGTTCTTTCAGTTCCTTAGTTCGGTGGGGTCCTAGAAATTGGGAAGATATAGGAATCGTTTCAGTCTTTGAAGGACACGGAATGAAAAGATCCGTATGAACGGTTTATTTATTTATATAGGAATGTTTTATTGCTTTTCCTCTTTGTTTACAGTTTATGTATTTTTCAATTAAAGATTTTTCATATTTACGTTTTTTTTAACTATACGATATAATTTTATTTCAAAATACAATACACATTTGTTGTGTTCAAGTTTGTTATTTTACATATGTTTTATATTGTATAACATGTATACCTACTCATGGCGTGTAAGTGTGTTAAGTTTGATAAAGAAAAGAAATGTGAAATGTGTGTGTGTAAATATGAAACAAGTTTATTGTATACTTATTTAAGTCTTAAATGAGCAAGGTACAATCGTACATCTCATTCGAACTTATACTAAAAGCAATGACAGCCCACTAATTTCCTCGTTCGCACCGTCTCGCCTCGTGTCTGTGAACTGAAAGAATGAAAGAACTAAAAAGACAGGTGAACTAGCGTCTAAACTAAACCAAAAGAAAGGTGAACTATTAAGATCGTGCACAAGGAACTAACTTTCGGTTAGTGTCAGGAATTCATTCCTACCAATTCTTAGTTCATGAACTACTCAAGCCGTCAGCCAATTATATACCTTTCCTATATGTATGTTATATGCCTACAGAGAATACCTACAGACTTCCTTTGTACTCAGGCTTATATCGTAAAGTACACAGGGATTTTTTTAAAATAAAATTAAGTGACGTAACGAACAAGTCGTGCTACACGCCTGTCTATGACAGTTGCAGTACCATTCAGAGCTTTAAATCACAAAGATCTGAGGAGCACTGCCACTGCGCACGACACCTTGAGACATAAGTTCACTAGTCCCATGTGCCTGTAATTTCACCAGCTACCCATCGGAACCGGAACGCAGTAATGCTCACACTACTGCTTGGCGGCAGAAATAGGTACGGTGGCAGTACTTCCCCGGACGAACTCCTTCACGAGGAGCTCTACTGCTACTAAACACATGTCGCCAAAATACAATGCTCCAGTTTCTTGTGAAATAAACATAACAACAATTAGTTTCCCATGCTTAGTACAAAGTAAACCTAAGTTATCGGAACTCCCGCAGCATCCAGAGATTCATTGCATTGGACAATGCCGTAGTGACAATAATGCCACTAATAATAGGTGAGCGTAAAAGGCATGCGGGCGACCGATGTGCTGTTACTACACACGCTGCAGAACTTTGATCGAAGCGATATTGACAATTTAAAAGGTGAGTAACGAGGACATGTGGTAAACTTTCAGACGTTACAGGGTACCGTCCAAAGTTCGTAAAGCCTATTTATCGGTCGGGGTAAATGTCTATGACGTTAATAAATATTAGGGTGCAATTGGTTTTGCGTAATTAATGGAATAGGTACCATATAAGTAACCTCTGTAGTGTGTGTGCTGGTATATTTAATAAGTAAGCTTCCACGTAAGACTTAAAACCTCTATCCATGACGCGAATGTGTATTGAACAACGTTTGAAAAAACAGTGATCTGTGGATATTATTCATTGTTGCCCGGGTTTGTTGTGTTAAAATGTATATGTACTCTTACATAACATAAAGATTTTTTTAAATATAATATATTAAAAAATAACACAGTACCTTTTATGGAATAACTGTAGCCGACAATGACTGACGACGCGTTTACCGGAAATTCAGTACATGTATAGGTACGCATACTTTTCTCAATCTATTATAAGTACCACATCGCTACCTTATTGAAACAGACAAAAGGCATGATCCATTATACAGCAGTTACAGCTGTTGCATGCACTTACTAACGCAGAGATAAGTACATGCGGCAAACAAGATCATACTAATTTATGCATTTACGAGTTTATTTTACGAGCAAGCCACAACGCCGACGGATACATGCGTACGAGTGCATCTTAACTGATGCAATATTTCTATTTTATGGTATTTATTATAGTTATTTCTTGATCAATATGATGTTACCTGTAATTCAATAATAATATTAAAAATAATCTTTGAAGCACCGTCGTAGTGAGATGCCATATTTGGTACAATGTTCTCGTCAGTTCAGTCACAGGCAAGGCTAAACAAAAACAATGACTACAATTTATGAGCTTTTTGTAAAGTAGTTATTATACGTAGCTCGTACCTGTGGATTCAAGAGACATGGTGGGTAAACACGGTGCGCACCAGATGTGTCTCGGATTGTTTATTGCGCTCGCGCTCGTCGCCGTGAGAACCGCGCTTGCACAAAACTATTATCTCATTTAATATCACAATAGGAGATTACTAAAAAATAGCAAATTACTTTTTGACAAGATGTGAAATGTAACTTATTCCAACACGGCCTTTAGTTTGCACAAAGCATAATGCTGTAAACGACATACTACACTGGGTTAACGTACCTAAATAAGGCGTTTTTATTGCTAATTTTACATAATCACACGACTCTCTGTGCTACAACAATTCACTATATGACTGTAGGTTAGCCTAGGCAGAGTTTTTTTAATAATATTTAAGCATAATCATGCATGTATTTTTTTACATTTTTTTATTGTCAGCGATTCCCCTTTCTCTTCCACGTGTTGCTCACACGCACATGTGCTCGTCGCTCTGAGATAGACTAAGCAATAAACTGAACCTTTACAATATACACCTATTTAATACTCTTGACAATTATATGTAGCTATCATTTAATGAATAAATTAATTAGGGTGAAATATGAATGATAATGAAATATGAAATAAGAATGGTGGGGCCGGAGTGTCAATTCAGCAACTGCACGAGTGCGTACCTTGATTCAGACTGAGTACTAGGCAAAGAAATGTCCATGGAGTCATCGCTCAAAACCATATTTATTTAAACGGCTGGCGGTTTTATCACAAAAGCAGCAATGGGCCGTTGTGTTACAATGTTCAACATTACCTACTCATAAGTTCACAAAAATACATAGAATTGTATGCTTAACAATGTCGCCGAAGTCGTACCAAAACGAAATATAGTCGTTAAATGGTATTTGTACAACCTTGTGACTTCATCGTAAAGTCGAATAAAAACCTAAGTTGTAATTATAGAATTAGAATTTTCATAAGAGATGGTTTTATATATTGTACATAAAAAATAAAAAAGTAGCTTATAAAGTTTCATAGATACACTCGTAAGATTGTACTTTAGTGAGGTTAGTCTTAGTAGAAACCGCAGAAACTTGACTCATTATGTTTTATTTTTAATTATTAACCGTGTGTACTAGTTAAAGTACTGTTCCTACATTGAACTTGAGTTAAATCAGTATGTTGACAATAACCTTGAATTCGGTTAACAACAGTTGCACGTAAATAAAAACTTAAAACTGTTACGTTACAATAAACCAACTTTATTTGTTGAATCACACACATTAAATAATGGTCAGCACATTTTGACGTTTGTTTTTTTAACAAAGGACTTTACAGAGCCGATACTTATAAGATTCATGACTTAAGATATAATGTAAAAGTTGTAATTTGCATAGGTATTGTTGGTTTCAATATTGCATTTAAATAATGCATTTCTTACAAAAATTGCGACGAAAACGTTTCTAATGTTTTTTTAAACAAGATTTTCGAAAAACGAATAAGACAAAGCGGTTGACAAAGATGTAGGTGTTGCTTTATGCGCGAGCGCACGTGAGCCGCACGTGTGACAAGGTGCCATTGTCTCCCGTACAGCCACCAGTCTCGAAGACAACTTACACAAGTATCGTAAAAAATAAACAAATCCCGAGCCTCGGGGCTGAACAGCCGATTGTAAAACTTATTGTGCGGCGCGAATTATGGTGGTAGTATAACCTTACCGACACTCCACGACGCCTTTGTCTAAAGATTTACAATGAGAATGTACCATCCTGTCTTATGCTTCAGATTAATTGTCACTAATAGCCATACGAGATGCATCCTGGCTGCATGGCTGTGATAATATTCAGGTAGTAGAAGCTATACGTTTTACAGACTAATCGATTATTAAGACTTTGTAATGTAATTGTTACGTAATACAATGTACATTATACATAAGAACATTACATTATTTTGCTTTCGTAATTTCCCCCGCATTTCGTAAATAGCGATTATTATTAATCCATGTGATAATTTCGAAACGTAAAAAGATAACGTTTCGACCAAATAAACACAACTGTTCGATATCGTAACACTCAGTTGTAGGTATGTAGTACGTAGTACGTAGCCATCGTTCATTGAAGAGCGCTCCGCCCGTCGCATCGACATCGTCCGCTGAGCGCGATGATACGCCCAGCGCCATCTAGCGACCGAAAGCTGAACTAAGAGCTCGATATTTAACAGCCACTCCAAATGTGACGTCATGTGCGATTGTAATTGGTTAAAATTGGGTAAAAAATATGTTTTCATTTACATTTAAACATAATTAAATGATGATACAGGCTCGGCGAGATTCCAAATACGGCAAAAGGTGATTTAATTGAAATGTAGAGCAGGGTTAAGATACACGTTTCACACGTTGTTGATTAACAACATCTATTTCATATTCAGCATATTGAATCGTTTATGTTAAATTTGTTGTTGCAACTTGCTCAATTTGTATAATAAAACAAATGCGGCGTTAGATAGAGACAGGTAGAGCGGCGAGAAGGTGGGGCATCGAGAAAGTAAATAAATAATTCACAGTTAGAGTCGAGCGGACATGTGTGGAATAAAATGTTGAAACTAAATCGGAGTATCGAAGGTGCGTCGACATGACGGTGATCACCACACGGGAGAGGAGTCTTGGCGAGCACGGCGGCCGACACTCACAGTCGGCTCTACTAATTAAGTATAGGTGGGGGGCGCTGGCCGGCGCGCGGGGCCGCGGGGGCGCGGGGGGCGGCGCGGGCTGGGGCGGGGCGAGAGGCGGACCGGCTTCACTCCGCCGCGCGCCGCGCCGCACACAGCACGTCCGTCCGCGCGCGCGGGCCATGGTCGCGAGAACCGATGACACTATGTTCGGGTGCTATGGTGACAGCTACTCGTACCGCCTGTGGAGCCTGGCCAACGTGTGGGGCGCCTGCCGATGTGAGTAGCGCCTTCGGCCGTCGCGTCCACGTGCATCCCCAACTACGGAAACTGGGACTTTTACCGCTGACGTCAGCGGAGGCTGTGAAATCTCCGTGTAGTACGGCGTAGATGCGATCGGGCGCAGTGTCATCATCGCCGTCGCGAAGTGCGCCTGTACTTGCCGCGTAGTGAGGTGTGAGAACGAAGGTGTCGCTCGATGAAAGTGCACAGCTCGCTTATGGGAGTTGGCGGTTGGTACGAATGCTTGGCGGCCGGTTGGCTAGCAGACATGAGGAGTAAGCAGGTCCCCACGTCTACCACCTCTGCCAGGCGGCTCGCGCCCTTATGTAAGCTTCTTTCCTTTTGTTTTGTTTGCTTTTTTATTTGTATTTATATTTCTCTATTCATCGTCGCCTTATCTCTACACTATTCTTTCCTTGACGAGATCCACTAAACATTTAAACTGAAGAAAAACACTGATTCCGTCTCCTCTTTTGTCCTTCACGATCGACGTGATGACAATCCAAGGGAGTTCATATCGAACAGATGTGCCCGCATTCACCACGCCCGAGCTTTCGATGTGAAGTGTTAATCGAACGCTCACCTGGCGCGATCACCTCGGGCGATTAAAAATAAAACTGAACCACGTCTTCATTAAAAGTAAGTCCAAGTTCGGCAATCCCTCGCCCTCGCTCCCCCGGGATATAATTCATCCACTTGAGAATCGGGAACAGCTACACACAGACTTGAAAGAAAGTTTCGTTTGCCGAGGGGAACCCCGCTCACTTTCACCATCTTAAACCTTAAATGATTATGTTGTTTTAATTCATTTGCTTTTTCTCTTTTACTTTTATTTAATTCTTCCGCTTTGAGTCGCCGCCTGTCTGAGTGGATAAAGTCGGAGGGACGTTTGATGCGTTCGGCCGAGCCACAATGCGTAGTGTTTAGATGGAGAGCTGCCGGAACGCGGATGAATAAATTAGTGCAAGTTCGTTTATCGCTCACAAAGTAGATCAAACGCCTCAAAACGGTACAAAGTCGTATTTTAAAGAAGCGATTAATTGCACGCCCAGCCTCACACTCCTAGGACTTAAATATGCATCGGAACGTGCACGTCATATGTGGCTATAGTATTACTAAATACGATTTAAAAATATATTACGTTCGTCTCACTTTCAATTGTTTGAAAGAAAACAGTTTTTCAAAACACCATTAATACCTGGGGACCTGTCAGCGAGTCGACAGATGTCATTGACTCGCTGATCTCACTTGGGTCAGTAATTTCAATGTAACTAAAAGTTATGTGATTTTATGAAACTTATATAAAAAGTACGATAGAGCTCCTTTCATTTGTGGAACACACCAGAGACACTGTACTTTTTACATAGGTACCTACAGGTATCTTCGACATAATGAAATATTATAATACAATGTATAGTGTGTATTTCACAAGCATATCAAGATGGTTGTCATTTTTGTACGTACGTAAGAATTTGTTCAGCTTTGTTACGTAGATATGTATAGGTTTCCCTCATTAGCTATACGCCTACAACAACAAGAACTGAAGGAGAAATCAACTCAATCAGAACAGATAAGCAATGAGTGCTTAAACAAACAATTCTAAGAAACGATAAGTGGAGCTTCGTCGCTAATCACTTGTTTGCCGATGCCGAGGCAAATTAACGGCTGATTGAAGTTTCGGTAAAGTTCCTGCCTACATCTCAGTCAGTGACTCATTCGATACTCGAAACACCAGAGACTAATATGGATTTAGGGAGATTTTACACCGCCAGGTTCTGAATCAGTAGGTGTGGGTGTTTTCTAGTTGTCAACGGCTCTGTGGCATAGTACTCATACCTGCTACATTCATCGAAAAAGAAAGTAAATCTATATATTAAAACCATAAACTTCACTATTTCTCTGTTGCTTTCAAATGCTTTCATATTCGTGATTGTTAAAGTAAGCAAGTACTCGGTACTCCTCGAAGTAGGCCTCGAAATTTAAAATTACTCTGGAATCGTAATTATATTTTGCTTTCTTTTTGAGAAGTTTTACCCTAGTCTGTTGATTCTAAATGTCGTCAAACAAACGCTTACGTAACCGAAGGTAGGTAAATCTAGTTGGTAATTTGTCTCAGAAACAATGAGGTTCCATTGAGCTCTACCGTGAGGACTCAACGTAAGGCATGATGTAGCATGATGAATAAATTATATAAATATCAGCGGTGTATTCACATTGATTGAGTAACAAAACATTTTAATTTACATTAATAAGCGGAATAAATTTGATCATGGGTAGGTAGGATGACGCTAATAATTTCTTTGGATAGAAAAACACTAAATACACACACGCATGTCAGTTTATTTATTTAATAGGTAGAATTATTTGATAGACAGAATTTTCGAATAAAATTATAATAAATTTAATAAATAGGAAATGAAACTATTTTTCCGGATTTAAATCGCGTATATTTGTTTTTTCAAACAAACCGACGTTTCGGGCCCTTTACAGGTCCCATGGTCACGGTTGACTGAGGTGGTACAGTCTTCAACCACTTATGTCTAATATTGATGCAAACCATCCTATGTTTTCCCTGTAGTTACAATAGTTATTAATTAAAAACCTTATTTTTAATTTTACAAAGAAACAATTCCAATTTACGCTACATTAAGTTTTACAAGTTATTTTATTCAATGAATTTTTATTAAGTTCAATTTATTATTAATTATTAATCGAAATTAGAATAAACTAAAACATATTAATTAGTACTGCAGTCTTATGTCTGTTTGGGATTTTTTATCAGAGGAAATACTGGATCCCAAACTGGTGGTACGGAGAGACGATCTTCCCTGTTGAACTTAGGATGTTTTTTAATTTCAATGGTCTCTCGCAGCATCCTGGGTAGATAACGGACTTCTTTTGCAAGGACCTGGGGTTTGTCAAATTTCATTGAATATGTAGGTTTATCCATGACATGCTCGCAGACTGCAGACTTGTTTACGCGACGGTGTTTGATTGACATCAGCTATATGTTCTTTGACGCGGGTACAAATACTTCGCTTTGTTTGTCCAATATAAGAGAGTTTCTCCGTACCACCAGTTTGGGATCCAATATTTCCTCTAATGAAAAATCCCAAACAGACATAAGACTGCAGTACTAATTAATATTTTTAGTTTATTCTAATTTCTATTAATAATAAATAATAAATTGAACTTAATAAAAATTCATTCAATAAAATAATTTGTAAAACTTAATGTAGCGTAAATTGAAATGTTTTCTTTGTTAAATTAAAAATAAGGTTTTTAATTAATAACTATTGTAACTATAGTGAAAAAATAGGGTGGTTTGCATCAATATTAGACATAACTGGTTGAAGACTGTACCACCTCAGTCAACCATGATCATGGGACCTGTAAAGGGCCCGAAACGTCGGTTTGTTTGAAAAAACAAATATACGCGATTTAAATCCGGAAAAATAGTTTCATTTCCTATGTGTAACAATCGCGAAAACCTAAGAACTCGAAATTTAATAAAAATAATAAATATAAAAATTATAATAAATTATATAATCAAATCAATCAAAAATATCAAATGCAAGCGCAATTAATTTATTCCGCTTATTAATTGGGTACCTAACTACTGGTATCAAAATTTAAAAAGTCGTAATAATTTGACTTAAGAAATATTTCATGATCGTGGCCTATCTCACCATCAATGGCCGCGTCTCAATAACACCTCCGTACAATAATTGAACGAGCGGGTATCTAAACAATTAAATAGTATTATACTATTGAATACCTACAATATCTCTCAACGCGCAATTACAATGCCGACACAATACAACACGGTGCGTAAGTCGCCGCCGCCGCCGCCGCCGCCGCCGCCGCCGCCGCCGCTACGCTCAGCTATCAGCAGGCGGAGTTTTTTCTTGAGCGAAGGCTCCCTCCCCGCGATCGCCCCCGCGCTGCTGGCGCACAGGTGTGACCAATCACCGGCACGCCAGTGTGCCACGATCAACAATCGACTTGTTATCTCCGTGTAGAAGAGTGTGTGTATGTGTGATAATTGTTATTTATTAACAGCGCAACGCAATAGGAAGCTGGGTGCACTAGTGTGCGTGGTAATTTTTTTATCAGCGGTTAACGGACGCACTCTGCCCGTGCGCACAGATTACGGCACCGGCGCGGGCGATAGCGCGAGTGTAGGTGTATCATCCGGTCCACCTAACGCACGATAAATGCCCGCTCGGCTCATTATAAAAATAATGTCGCTTTGTTGTATTCAACGCCCGTTATGCTTCAGTGGGCATTGCCCTTCCTTTCAGAAAATTATTATCTTATTGGGCTGACTACTACAGTTGTTTCATCACAACTCTACCTCTGATACAAGCATTTGTAGGTACAGGGAAAGTAAGGGTCATTGTGGATTTTAATTAGAGGATAACTAACTATATTGGCGTTGATCTGCTTTATATCATTTAAATGTAACCTAGTAATAATAAACTGTTGTTGTCCCAAATAAAATAAATTAATTATTGTTTTCTAATTTAGAATAGTAACCATTAGCAAATTCTTTTTGCACTACGAATTAAAGTGCGCTGTGTTTAGTAAAATCTACGTAAACTCTTTAAACAGTCTCTTCAATCAAGTAGATATTTATGTAGGCAACTACTAAAGTTTTAAGTTTAAAAATTAATAGGCTATAATCTAAATTGCTATCATTCCAATTGTACACGAAAATAAGAGAACGCCGATTCTGCAGGCTCTATACAACTAGCGCCATCTGTTGTCGAATAGCAGAAACTTTTACGTTTCAAACTACGTCTTACTCTCACATATAATAAAGTAACTTGACATTTGTAGCACATTATTTGTGCATTGGTTTTGTGTAACTGTTATAGTACCTATATTATTTAAGTTAATTATTAATGCTACGGATACCTAAGTACTTTTAGTGAATATTTAGATTATTTCATTTTATTTTCATTTCGTGTTTTAGAAAAATGTACGGACTAATTAGTATACCTATCCTTGCCTATACAAAGAGAGATTAGTATATAAATGCTATTAACCAATTTGTCTGAAATCTGGACATATAAATTTAGGTACCTACGTACCTACATAGTACCTACAATATGTACCGGCCGGCTGTGTAACCTAACAACACCTCTGCAGATAACGTTCGGTTTACGAGATCGTATTTTCTAAAATTCAATACCGGCGACACGATAGCAGATTTCATCGGTGGGCGCGTACAGCGTGTGTGGTCATAGATATGTGAAAAATAAGGTATGGTGCACGGGCCGGCCGCCGGTCACCGCGCCGCGGACCAGCACGACCGCTCTAATTAATATGTCGCCCGTTGTTTTGCTCTTTATTATATTTGATTTACGGTACGCGCCGCCAACGGCGCTTTTAAAAACGTTATTACGCGGCAAAACGAGCCGTATTACCGAAATAACCGACTCCAAATTGAATTGTTGCCGCCATGTTTGTTTTTATGAAGCGAGCGCTGCCCATAAAGGTGTCCGCGATAATTTTAATAGGTAACAATTTGTTCCACGTTATTGCTTTATTTCCAATGGAGGCCTACGTACGCGTACACGGAAATAGCAACCTGGTGTCCTTTTATTACAGTACCCTATTTTATATAACGTTGCTGTCCTGTTTATCCGCAAATTTAGCCAATTTTAACAGTATATAGGTATATATAGGTATTCGTAGAAAATTAAGACAGAATGTAGTAAGTACGTATGCGTATATACTTAAGCCTGCGAAGGTTTATTGGTGAGGCATTGTCCAATAAAGTGATGCGTTTGTCCACAGTCCGACCGCTGGCCGGTGGCGGCGCAGAGGGCAAAGCGACCGAGGACGAGGAAGAGCGCGGAGGCTCCCCGCTGGGCCCCGGCGGGCCGTTCTCGTGCAGCCAGTGCCGCGGCGCGTACCCCACGCGTGACCAGCTCGAGCGCCACGAGCAGCTGCACGCGCCCAACACTCAGGTGGATACCGTCAAATATGTCAGTTCCCATTCTAATACCTACACCTACTGCTTCCCTTGGGCCGATTTCTCTACCGTACTTTATCGGCATCCTCTTGAGTCACAGCACCACTTTATTGCAGCTTCATAATTTTACATCTCTGTACTTACCGACTAGACCTTGTGTAGTTGTAATCTATTAATTAAGTCAGACTACCATATCTATTAAACTCTTCCTTCTTGTTCAACAGTCATGCAAGATCTGCCACAAGAGCTTCGCGAACGTGTACCGGCTGCAGCGACACATGATCAGTCACGACGAAAGCGCATTGCTGCGCAAATTTAAATGCAATGATTGCGACAAAGCCTTTAAATTCAAGCACCATCTGAAGGAGCATCTGCGGATTCACAGCGGCGAGAAGCCCTTCGAATGCGCCAACTGTGGCAAAAAATTTTCTCACTCTGGCTCATATTCGAGCCATATGACCTCGAAAAAATGTCTCGTCATGAATCTCAAAATGGGAAGAATAAAACCCAACAATCCCGCGTTAAATCCTGATCGTAGCCCTTCAAGAAAACGCACCAACGCTATGGTCGCGTCTCAATTGAATAATAATGTAGCGCCTAATGGAGGCTCTTTCCCATTGCCTATCTTACCCAAGTACAACGACGCTGCTGCCTTTTTCGCACAGCCTGGAATAAATCCCTTCTACATGCCACCAGGAATGCCGATAAGTCCAGCTAGTGGAATTACCCCTTATAGTTTTCCAGCTTCGCTTAGCCAGCTGTTTGAACAATTAGCTTCTTCGCAATACCCGCCACGAAAAATGGATAGTCCAATCAATCCTAAGCTGATTAGCTCTCCTCCAATGAACCCTGAAGATTTAATAGAGGAAGTTACCGAAGAGGACGATAAGCGATCGGAAGGGAGCGCGGATCTCGTTATGGACATAGAGGATGAAGAAGGTGTCTCCGTAAAGAAGGAACACGACGGTCGGGAGACTGATCTGCAGTCGCCCACATCACGCAACTATGAATCCGTCCCTCTAAATAACAACGGCCCAGATGCCGATAATAACCATCCACATTTTAATACAATATTAGAATCGGTGAGCGCTTCGGTCACTAAGCATTTCTTTAGAGCAAATATGGAAAAATTGTCACCAGTGTCGGGAAATACTTGCCCTAGTATAGAATCACCACCGACTCCTCATATAATTGTAAAAAAAGACCCCGAAGAAAGTCACACATGTCTCAAATGTAACTTAACATTTAATAATAAAAGTGACTTATTAGATCACGAAAAAGCATTGTGTGGAAATCTATTTCGAAAACATGAAGGTCTGGCAGCTCAAGTAGCAGAAACTGTTGCACTTAATAGATTAGAAGCAGAAATGCGAGCATCGATACAAAGTGGAGTGAGCGCTAGCGAAGACGAAGACTATAATAGAGAAGATAGAGATGAAAAAATGTCTATACATGACACTGACAGGAAAATCAGAGTTCGAACGGCGTTGAGTGAGGAACAACAATCAGTGCTGAAGGAGCACTACGCGATAAACTCACGCCCAAACCGAGAGGAGTTCAAAAGAATTGCTCAACAAATTGGTCTTGACAACAGAGTGGTTCAAGTATGGTTTCAAAATAATAGAGCTAGAGAACGAAGGATGACTCAGACCGTAGTCTTGTCCGATCAACCACTAGACTTGTCGACGAAAAAATCGAACCCGTCGGTTACTTCGAGTCCATCGCCGTCGCCTTGCAGCATTTCCGTTACACATTCCGATTCCGAAGAAGCGGTGAATCTGAGTCAAAAGTCGTCACGAAGTACGACTCCGCACCGCCCGAACTATCTAAATACATACCCACATTCCAATTGCTCTTCTTCGTCGTTTAACGATTTTCGACTATCGCCATCACCAGGGGAACCAATAAATGGTCATAAAAGGTTACTGCCGCAAAAAATGCCAGTAAATCCCTTGGTGCCGATGGAGAAGCTCCTACAGTACAACGATATAGCGAACCGATCTCCTCTACTCAATATGCACATGTCGTCAGAACTGAATCGACAGGGATCGAGTCCTTCGTACGATCGCCCATCTTGGGCCGAGGAAGTGCAGACATCAAACGAGTTCGAAGACGAAGGATCAGTACTTAAGAAAAGCAAAATTAAGCCAGGAGCAGAATTCAAAGAAGGCGAAGGCCAGTTCGTCTGCGATCAGTGCGACAAGACTTTCGTCAAACAGAGCTCTTTGGCGAGACATAAATATGAACATTCAGGTTAGTAACGTAACACATTTGTTCTAATAAAAATCCGAATTCAATTAGTTTGTGTTGACTTTAAATGTGACTAAATACTTAATAAACAAAAATACAAAATGCAACAACATTTAATGTATTTATACAATCCACAGGCCAACGACCATACAAGTGCTTGGAATGTCCAAAGGCGTTCAAGCACAAGCACCATCTGACCGAGCACAAGCGGTTGCACACCGGCGAGAAGCCCTTCCAATGCTGCAAGTGCCTCAAGAAGTTCTCGCACTCCGGCTCCTACAGCCAGCACATGAACCACAGGTTCGCAATCTGCAAACCCTACAGGGAGTAGATGCCCAGCGAGTAGACAGCCCACTACGGAGTTTAGCACATTCATTGCCTCGTAGAAAGGCGGACAGCACAATTTGTCGACACTAGTTACCAACCCTACAACGAAAATGATGCTGTTATCAATATGACATTTACCTCATAAAGCGTTTTAACTAAACGAACATAATTTACGCATAATATACCTGTAGGTACTCACAATAATAAAGTATTCATCGCTCGGTATTTTCGTTTCGGATTAAGGTCATTGCTCAACGTCATATTTTTATACACTAGAACTCGAGTAGAATATAATTTTGATTCCCCTATTTATGATAATTAACTATTGTATAGAGCCAAATATTATACACATACCAAAGAAATGTGCCATGCAACGCGCCAAACATTTTTATGACTCATTTAATTTAAGCTGATAAGTAGTTATTAGTTGTACGTGCCAAATCGTGAAGGCCGGTACCTGTAGCATAATACTCCTGTAATAATAAGTGTTAAATTTTATTTTTATAACCCAAACGAAACGCCAAAATAAGCAAGTGTAATGTAATTTATTCAAAGCCAGCAGCGGTCAGCAGTGGTAAATCTCTTGTTGTTCTATATTTCAATCAACAAATTATAATATTTTTAACTTATTAATTCCTCCAGATGCGTAAAATCGTGACCGGAATGTCTAATGTGATGACAATATTATAATATAAAATAGTTTGTCCCTTTGTCTAATTGTCTACTTGTAACAAAGAGTACGTGTAACGAAGTAATTACACCAGCTTTTCAAATTTTAAACTGCAAAGGCTTAACGCTGATCGTTTCACAATTTGCGCGGCAGTATTGTCTAAGTACCCACACGCAATGCTATACCTCTATGGTTATTAAAAACTACTTGTGTCTTCTGTTCTTTGAATTCATAAGGATAGGTAATGATAATCTTCTTGTATTTTAATTATAACTGTTTAGATAGATTCAATCTTAGTTAAGTTTAAAGCATTCCATACTACTCCTATGGGATCTCCGCTGTGTTTATTGAACTCTCGATTAGATTAGTCCAAAGATTAGATATATTATCGTTGTACATAATATCTTATAATAATGTACATAATAAGATTTATCTGTAAATATGATTGCTTATATTCTATATATATAACATACGTAGGTAGAGTGTATTATACTCGAGGTGTTTCAGCTACAGTCTGACATGAATATGACAATAATAAACAACACAGTTTATTGATTGCAATACGATGCGTAAAAATATTTCGAAAATTATGTAATCTTATCTTAATAAAATATAAGACATGTAATGCGTCACAGTAAAACCAACGAATTTATGGCAACCTACATACTATTTATTAGTTTTATTTATATTCATTCATTGCGGGTAACTTAATTTCGCATACTAGTTATTTCTTATGTTCATCAACGTATGTACTTAATTTGCAAGTTGTGTTCCAATATAGACTTACTATAGTTCAGATTTTCAATAGGACCACACACAATTACCTCAAATTTTAAGAGTCATTCATCTTGCTCCAACTTGGCTTTTTAAACTCTATGAATTAGCTGATTCTCCTCCATGTCATCAGCATAATAAAATTGCTTGTAGGTTTTTCACTTCCTCGACTCTTGCAGTATGTTAGAACAGAAAGTTCCTAAGCAAAAATACACATTAAGAGATACGCAGTAAAGTTTATTTCTGTATTCTGTAATTATATAAGTAGATAAAATTAATTTAAAGGTTTCTAAGCAACGAATTACATAAAATACCGCAGACACTGTATGTATACTTTTATCATTAATACGCTACTAGTTATATACTTATACTTAATTATGTGTCACAGTATTTCAAGTTCAACGCGAACGTTACACCTTGTATTTTTACAAAATGTATTTTGCATCTTAATTTAAAGTCAACAGCACAGCCAGCTATACACTTTAGTTCGAATATCGCCTCCAGTGCAACGGAAAAAGATCCGTCAACGTGTAGCTTGATGTTCTGCCGTCTGTACATTTGAAGCACAATAAGTAATAACTCCAAACGAAATCATAGAATAGGTACAAATACAAATTCAATCCACTGTCTCTTCTTACAGAAATCATTTTTCGCCAAAACACAAAGATCAGAGAAGTCTTAAATCTAAAAGTTTGATTATTTACTATTATTATTATACATACTTATATTAGTTGTAAGAACGATTGTGGTGCGTCGTCGCGGTTTCTCGGCTTCGCGGTGGGCTAGATAAACCAAAGATTACTTACGTTAATGACGTGATGTGGAAACTGTACCATATACCTGTCCCATCATTAGTTATCTAGTTTAGTTTTAATTATGTGCCAAAATAAGTTTAGGTCTTGATTTAAAATTTTATACATGAAAATTATTTTATTTTTTACAAAAAAGATGACATTGTATGTTTAACAAAGGTTCCGTTTGTGCAATACGAAGGTTGCAAGAAAGTACTGGAGTCTTCTAAGTGTAAGAGTACGTAAGCTAGGGGTAATGTTAAGCCATGTGAATTCCTATTGCCATACTGTGTTTGTTGTACTTGTGAGGAGTGCACTGCGCGTTGCGCACGGTGCGCTGCTGTGCACACGTCGCTAATCATTTGTTAAACTAAGTAACTCTAGATTGTTAAACCTACCCATAGATTAACATGTGTTAAAATATTGCCTATATAAATTATAGTAATTCATTTTACTTGATATTATAATGTATATTATTGAATTTATGAATATTAAAAATATATATATTGACATTTCAATGCAAACAAATTATTTCATTTAAACCTTTTCTCTTGATGAGCCAAATGGACAATATCCAAATGTTTCACAGTTTTTTTATCTAAGTGTTTGCACCGACCATCAATCATCAACAAATTTGTTTGGATTCGTGGACTGGCGTGCTGTTTATTGGTGTCTGCATATCGTGTGTGGGCTCCTGGCTTAGCTCCCGGCTACTGGAGACGAACAGCACCCGTAGAGTACAGTTACATGCGATTATTAATCAGAATTGATTCAGTAATGAATAGATACAGGCGATACTTTTCCGGAATCCATATTTATAAATATGGAAGAAAATCATGTCAATCAATGCTATTTCGCGTACCCATTGAAGGTTAAATAGTGCAATATAGCTACGCTTGTGTTGAATATTCTTTGATGCAGGTAATTTTCCCACCCTCCCTCCACATAAAATTAATACAAACAAATAAGAAAAACGCAACTACAATCACAAACACCACCACCAAAAATGTAGTCGCCACGTGTTTCGCCTTTCCACGAGGCATCCCCAGAAGCTGCTGATTGTTCGACACTCGACAGAAGAAATACGAAATTTTTGTATCGAGTATCGAGCCTATATTACTATCACTGCTATGCTCTTTATTATATTATACGTTTTATTTAACCTTTAGGAAAAGGGTTCGCAGAGTAGCAATTTAACTTATTTGTATTTTTGCGAATGAATGGAAGAATGGCATCAATCAACATTTTTTTACATATAGATAATACTTAATTTAAAATGTCAAACACATCTGACTATGTTTGTGATAAAATATTGAACTTTTCTTAAGTGTAATTTATCAAATATAGTTAATTTTTGATAAATTACAGTATAGTTAGTTATGTAACAACCAATTTAAGATACAGAATATTTTTTGGGGGAATTCACCACAAATGGAACGTATATTTATGCGTACAATAGAGGTACATACGAGCTATATATATATAAAAATAGACAATTGCCTACCACATTTAAAAAAATTTAAAATTCTTGCTCTCCCATCCCTATTAAATACATGTATATGAATTTTCACTTTTCGTTAAGCGTCATTATGAATTATTTCAATGGGTATGTACATCACAAGTGCACGCCGATATCAACTGTTTATGTCGGTACAAAGCAGACCATTCAAAACTGCTCTACTTAGAGAAAGCGTAGTTGTAATGGCTTCGAAGGTCTACAGTAAACTTCCGACTGAGATAAGAAATTACAATAATGTTACAGAGTTTAAGACAACGTTATTAAATTACCCAATGAAGTGAAATTCTACAATACTGCCGCCGTTAGTTGAAAGTGCGCATGCGACAAAAACTCAAAATCGAGAAAACAATGTTTTGTACAAATGAAATTGAAAAATATCTGCTTTTCTCGTGCGGTAATTTCAAACCTTAACCAATAATCTAGGAAAAAATTAAAATAGTAACAGATCGGCCTTTCTTTACTGATCACGGCAGTTTACATAACAAAATTTTTAATAAAATATCATGTGCCCGTTCAACTAACGCGGCAGAATATTATCTAGAGATTTCATTTAAAATTGACAGTGTATATCATTTTAGTGTTGTGACTGATGTTATTATATCAGATGGCTTGAATACAGTGCCTATACAAATTATTGCATAAGTGTGTAGGTATATGAAAAGATATCGACGCCGGAAAGCGATCTTGTCGTATCTCGAAAAATAGGACTTTACACCAGAGCCGAAAAACTATTTTAAAGAATTATTTCTCTTTAATTTGAATTAGTAGAAAGTCAGTTTTAAAGTATGAAATGTATAAACGGGACAGCCATCAAATAGCATTGACGAAATTATTCTAAAATTGGTTTAACATGGGTTTTCAACTAGTTACAGCAATTGCGTTTCCAAAACCTAGCAGCAATTTTGCTGTATATCGAAATTGTAACATATGGCACAACAAAATACCACACAACTTTCAAGAAGTGATTTTGCTGTAACTAATATGGAGTCCAATATGTTGGTCCATTTTATTGATGTATCTGATGTAGTTTTTAGATAAATGGCGTATATTTTGTTTTAAATATGAATAAAACTACAGGTTGGCTACATTTAAAATGCCGTAAATATTTATTAAAATTAAAATGCAAAAACTGCACTTTGTACGCTGTTACAATGAAATCAAATCAGTCTCTATCTGAAAAACAAAATAACCAATTGTTCTGGTTTTATTGGCACTTCTGACCAAACAGGTACATACAATATTAAGAAATTTTCTGCAATAGCTTGTCACGGTAATTTTCAACAAATCACATCGTAAGACAACAAAACTGCTGTTCTTAAGTAATGTCTAGTATCGATTTTCGCAAATGTCTTGTATCGGTTTTAATTCCTCCTTCTTCGCTCCACGTTTTGCCATCTAAAATAAGAATTAGTAAAGTTAAAATAAGTACATACAATACCATTATTTCGACCCCTCATACGTAAAGTATCATATGTTGAAATTGACAAGTTTTAAAATTTGAATTCACTGAAATGAGCATAACACGTGACTTTAGCATTTCTCAGTTTTATTCTGCATAGCTCGTTACTCACATAGAGTATTATAAAATCCTAGATATCGGTGGTCAGCAAGCGGGTAAACTAAAGTGAGACTGGGCGGGTCACGTCTGCTGCATGCTGGTCGTAGACGAAATCTACCACAGTATGGATCCCCAAAGACAGGAAGCGACTTTGCGGCTGACCAAAGCGTCGATGGAGAGACGACCTAGACGCGCACCTAAAAGACTAAATCTCAGTGGCGCAAAACAGAAATGTGGAAGGAGGGCGGGACGGTATAGGCTCATAATATAATAATAATAATTATAGCAACGTACTTACAAAACGTATTTATTTTATCAGCTGTATATTGTTGTTTAACCTGGTTGTTCTCGTAAATTATCAAACCCGGGTTCGATTCCCGGTAGGATCAATTTGGGAAATGAATTTTCAATTTTTTTTATTATAATAATAATAATAACACACACACACTCAACATAGCCCCGCACTAGGGAAATCCTGTGTCGCGGGTGCCATGGACACACATATAGACAACCACAAATTACACCCAAACTCACGAGAGAAACAAATGTAGGTCAAATTATAAATAAATAAATAAAGGTTATATTAATAAATTGACGGGACGAACAAGTCATGTTCCTGATGGTAAGCGACACGTTCACCCATAACAATTGCAATGTAACTTTGAGCACTGCTCCTGCGCCCACCACCTTGAGACATAAAGTTGACAAACGTTTGCTTCCAATTGCACCAGCACCCTTACCCTTCATCATCGAAACCGCCAAGCAGTAATGCTCACATTACTATTTGGCGACAGAAATAGGTGAAGTGGCAGTACCTTCCCGGACGAACTCGTGCACAAGGAGCTCTACTGTTACAAAAAATTTGTTGGTTGGCTGGTTGTGGTCTGGGTTTTCTGATGTCAAACAACCGCATCTATCTTGTCTCAAACTAGAAATTCGAAGTAATATGAGTACCAATGCAACGGTATTCATCTGGGGAACTACCCAGAACATCCAGACAAATAAATATAAATATTATGAAAATACATGAAAATATGGGGATAAAATTTTTAAGACGCAGGAAGGATTTGAACCCACTGTCTGGAACAATCACTCGGACGTCACACAAATGACGATCAATTGGTTAGAGCGTGGAGATGGTTTGGCCGTGGATTCAAATACCTCCTCGGTCTTAAAAAATATTCCCATATTTTCATGTATTCAATTGATAATATCAACAACTTTTAGGCCTCTTATGTGACATTGGTCTTCATGGTAGGGATGTCAGGATCATTTGCAACCTGTATGAGAAGCAAGTGGTCACGATAAGAGTTGAGAATGAGGAAACCGATCAAGTTGAGATCTGTCGTGGGGTCCGGCAGGTCTGCATCCTTCTCCGCTGTTTTTAATGTTAACTTGCGTTATGCAGACGACACTATTCTCATTGCAGCATTGAAAACCGATTTGCAAGCAATTGTAAATATGGTAATGAATGTAGCGAGAATGCCGGTTTAGTAATGAACATAAACAAGACGAAGTTCATGGTGGTCTCGAGAAATCCGGATTTGAGCCCTAACATATCTGTAGCTGGGAAACAACTAGAGCGGATACGACAATACAAGTATTTGGGGGCTTGGGTAAATGAAGCATGGGAATCTGATCAGGAAATCAAAACCCGGATAGGAATTGCTCGAGCCTCTTTTAACAACATGAGGAAAGTTCTGTGCCGTCGTAAACTGAACATAAAGCTCCGAGTCAGGTTACTTTTATGTTATTTCGGGTTTATCGTCATCTATGGGGGACCTTAAAATAAGACACTACAAGATATGGTGCTACTGTCGCATGTTGCGCATTGGTTGGACACAGAGGGTTACGAATGAAACCCAGCTTCAGTGTATTCATATATCCCTGAAAATTATGCCATCTATCAAAAGGCGCAAAGTAGAGTATCTTGGTAACGTGAACAGGAACAATAGATACACGCTGCTACATCTAATAATGATGGGCAAAGTGCAGGGAAAGAGACGCAGTGGGCGAAGAAAGAAATCGTGGCTGTGGAATATCCGGAAGTGGACCGACATTTATCATTCAGCCATACGACGCCCACTGTTGGGCATAGGCCTCCCCTAACGATCTCCACGTCCTGCGCTACCCGCAACCTCTACCAGATCGTCGGTCGACCTGGTGGGGGGGCCTACCCACTGAGCGTCATCCGGTGCGCGATCGTCACTGAAGAACCTTTCCGCCCCAACGGCCATCGGTTCTCCTAGCTATGTGCCCTGCCCACTACCACTTCAGCTGAGCAATTCTTCGAGCTATGTCGGTTACCTTAGTTCTCCTACGGATTTCCTCATTTCTGATTCTATCACGTAGGGAAATACCGAGCATCGCTCTTTCTATTGCCCACTGAGTGACCTTGAGCCTTCTTATGAGGTCCATAGTGAGGGAACACATCTCTGATACATATGTGATCACTGGTAACAAACACTGGTCAAAGACTTTCATCTTGAGACACTGAGGTAATTTGGACGCAAAGATTTTCTATAGTTTCCTGAACGCTGCCCATCCGAGCTGGATTTGACGAGAGATCTCGTTCTCAAAGTTGGACTTACCTAACTGGACTGTCTGCCCCAGGTATAAGTAATGGTCAACAACTTCGAGTGTAATGCTCCCAATTTTAACTGGAGCATGTTGTACCCAACATGGACATTCGACATGATCTTTGTCTTGTCCATGTTCATCTTAAGACCCACTCTTTGGGAAACGCTACTGAGGGACCGACATTGCCTCCGTCGAACAATTGTTTCGGTTGGCTGCAGATAGAGACGGATACAGGAAGCTGACGGCCAACCTTCAGCATCGAAGAGACACTTTAAGACGAAGAGGAAGAATTGATAATAATAACTCTGTGAATGTACACTGTGTGTGTATGTGTGTAATACCTTCAAAAATAATTTTGAAAAGATAATTTCTCAAGTTTACCGTGTACCGGGAATCAAACCCGGAACCTAGAGCAAAGGAAATAACACCCAGGCTAGAACCAATTTAGAAAAGTTCATTTTTCCAAATTGACCCTACCGGGAATCGAAGCGGTCGCCAAGCGGCTTTTCTCTTTTCTTATGTTGAATTTAGAGAGATGTATACTTTATTTAGTACAGAATATGTTTTGTTAATTATGAAAGCATTAATTTTACCTCGGCTTTTGGGCCAGTACCGCGTATCTTTTTCTTCACAAGACCCCGGCGATGACGGTGGCGGCTCGAAGAATTCGTCTGCGATAACAAGACACTGATCAATCGGTAATAGACATTATTACTAAATAAAGGAACCTACACCATTTCACAGTATAAGACACCACAAAGAGATATTAAACCTTTTACAACAACTAGAATTCGTCGATCTGTTACATTTAGGTATTAAATTGGCTTACCTTTGATCTTTTGTATTTTTCGTATAGGTAAAACACAAAAAATTCGCAAACCACATTTAAATGCATTCTCACTTCGGCGCTCGCGCGTCCTTTGCCCTACAATCGTGAAGGAGCGTAACCAAAGGAGGCAAGGGGGAAAGGGGACTTTTATTTAGTGTAAAAACAATTGTATAGGATTTGAATCTCTATTAAAATGTGTTAAGTGCATTTCTAGTGCCACATTCACTGAATTATAAAGTTGTAAATTGTAACTTCAATTAGCCCTGAGTGAATTGAATGGTTGTATTTCTAATTAAATACAATTATCGAGCAGCGAAATTGCTGTATCTCGGTGGACCATTGTTTGGCCACGATAAAATGCTATAACTATTTCGAAACATTTAAACGGGGACCGTGTATCTCAATTTCAAAAAAAAATTAAGCAAAATTCTTGGTGTATCTATTTTATCGTAAAAAATAGGACGTTTTTCCTATTTACACCATTTTTCCGTGTGTTTCGTAAAAAATCAGTGCCAAAAATCGACGTCGTGTAAGGAAAAAATATCGTCCTAGAATTATATCACCTAGACCAAAAAATGCGGAATTTTTTTCGGTTCCAAATATAAAAACACATTTTTCGAGATACGACAAGATCGCTTTCCGGCGTCGATATAGAATCATGCATTGTGATCCACCATGCGGCATACAAAGTTTCATAATACACACTTTAGCAATATTATAAAAGTATTCTATAACTCTTTCGTTATCGTTGCTCTTACCTAGTCTCGATTACGCTGATGTCTGTTTCATTGACCTTAACGAGGATCTATTAAGCAAACTCCAGCGTCTACAGAATCTTTGCATCAGATTCATATACGGATTGCGCAAGTTCGATCATGTGGCCGAATTTAGGAGAAGGCTTCAGTGGCTCTCTATCAAGTTGCGCCGTGAGGAGCACGTTCTCGGCTTTCTTTATAATGTTCTATACGACTCTCGTACTCCGCCATACCTTAAGGTTCGTTTTCGCTTCCTCGGGGATGATCACAACCGTGAACTAAGGTCTAAAATGGATAACCTACTGAAGCCTCCTTTCACTCGCTCTGAGTATTACGAAAATTCCTTTACGATTAAGGCTGCAAAATTGTGGAACGATCTCCCATTTGAAATCCGACATTCTAAGTCGCTACCTATTTTCAAAACCGGATTGCATAAATATCTTTTATCACGGTCCTAGTCCGCAACGTGTGTATTAGTAAGTATAAGTTATTAATAAGTATAAGTTTGTTTAGGTATATTTATATATACATATATCTACGTACGTATAATATATCATTATTTTTTTAAAAATTTTTTAAATTACTATGTGTCTTTATGTTAATACTTCTATTAACATTATACATAAATTTAGTTTAGGTAAGACGCCGCTAGATGGCGTTGAAACTTTTATGCAATTTTCTAAAACGCGCTATTGAGTTGTTCACGGAAACTGTATAAATGTGGAGTGATTTACAAATAAAAACGTATTATTGGAACATACAGGCTGTTTCATTTTGGGTATTTTTGGGACGCTATACATGGTCCTTCGAGTTGCCGGTTTAATACGGCGCGAAGTAGTACTTGTACATCGTCCATCCCGGCGCCAAAGGAGCAACGGATTGTTGCCAAAGGTGCTTTGGCCTACGGCAACAGGAGGCGGAAGAAGGCGTCGTCACCGCTGTGACAACAGAGACAGAGCTACGGCGCAAGGGGTGCACACCTGAGACATCTACCGGACGAGACGGAAGCAGCGCGGTCATTCATAGTCATTTGGTTTTGCGCGTGAGTTAAAGTGTCAAGAAAACCGTGAGTACAATTTGAATCTTATCTATCAAGTGCATTAGTGAAGTGAAAAAAGTTAAAAATTATGGAAGTGTTTTGGACTTAGAATAATTTGCAAAAAAGTGAACCGACGGGGAATCCATGCCCGTTTTCGGAGCAAGTAAACTTTGCCAAACACTTAGAAAAATTGACATCATCGGACTTGTGATATTTGTCAGTACTGTACGAGACTTAGTGTAAATTGGGACAGTTATCCAACTCTTAGAATATTTATGTGAATTCTTGTCAGTTTATACTTGTGTTTTGTTCACGTGGAAAGTTATTGTACTCAGTTTGGACCAAATTGTAAATCTAAATAAGTAATTATATCTTTACCTCTGTCTTTAATTAATAGTAATCATGGCTGAAAATTACACTAAGATTCAGGAAGACATTGCTACGAAAATATTTAAATCTAAATCAAATTTCAAAAAATCGCCAAAGGATAGACTAACTTTATCTTATATCGAAACTCGTTTGGAAACTTTAGAACGGCAGTGGAATGAATTCATTAGTAATCATCGAAAAATTGTATATGAGATAAGGCGCGAAGAACTAGAAAAAACTAGTTATTACATATCTGATGTTTACGATCAAACCGAAGAGATATATATCGAGTACAAATCGCTATTAAAAGACACATTGTTAAACCTGAAACCTAGTCTCAATCCAGACAAAGGGGATGAGAAGAAGGGTGGTGAACAAACTGCAGTAAAGCTGCCTAAGATCTCAGTGCCGAAATTCTCAGGCAAATATTCAGAATGGGTCAGTTTTCGTGACTTGTTTACCTCCCTTATTCATAACAATCCCAATGTAGATGATGTTCAGAAATTACATTACCTGAAAGGTTGTGTAATTGGTGAGGCAGAACAATTACTTCGACACATACCGGTTACTTCTGACAATTATAAGGTTTGTTGGGCACAGTTGGAGAGTCGTTACAATAACAAAAGGTATTTAGCTAACAATATTTTGAAAAAGTTGACTTCTCAAAAGGTCCTGGTATCTGAGTCAGCTAGTGCTATCAAACAATTGTTGGACACTACCAAGGAATGCCTACATGCATTAAAAAGTATCGGGGTAAACGTTAGTAGTTGGGACATTATTATAATACACCTCATTAGTCAAAAATTAGATCCAGAATCCCGTAAACAATGGGAGCAGAAAATTAGTGATTCCAACAGTGATTTACCTAATTTTAATCAATTTGGAGAATTTTTACAAGGTAGGTTTAGATCGTTGGAATATCTGGATACAAAGGTTCAAAAAATTGAAAAGACCAATTGTGCTCATGTTGCGACTACAATCATAACTTGCAGTTTTTGTACGGAAAATCACAAATTATATAATTGTAAGAAATTTGCTAAGGAAAATACTGACACGCGACGTAATTTCGTCCAAACGCACCATTTATGCTTCAACTGTCTCGGTTCAGATCATTCGGTATACCAGTGTACAATATCTACAAGGTGTCGTCTTTGTAAGAAAAAGCACCACACTCTACTTCATCCTAAAATCCCTAAATCAGTTCATGACATAAAGACTGATCAGCCTGTTGATAATAAGGTTGCGGCTAAGTCAACCCCACCGCAGACTCATATCGAGTCCCCAATTCCCCAAGTAGTTACTACTTGTTTTTCTAACACAATTGGACAAGTCTTATTGGCTACTGCTTTAGTAAAAGTAGTGTCACCCAAAACGAATTCTGCATTCGTTTTAAGATCGCTGCTTGATCAGGGATCTCAGGCTTCGTTTATTACGGAATCGGCTGTACAATTGCTGGGTCTCAAAAGGATACCAGGGACCAGTATAGTATCAGGTTTAGGCGGCGACCAATCGACTTTAGCTTCAAAGTCGTCGGTAGTTATAAAAATTCAGTCCCGTCTTGATCCAAGCTTTTCTATTACGGTTAAGGCTCATGTTTTAAGTAAACTGACAACTTTTCTACCAAGTAGTAAGGTTTTTGTTCAAGCTTTACCAACACTCCCGTCCATAGAATTAGCTGATCCATCGTTTGACACACCCAACAGAATAGATATTCTTTTAGGTGCTGAGGTATATAGCCAGATCTTGTTGGAAGGTTTGATCAGAGGTTCTTCCGGCTCTGTCGTTGCACAACACACAAGACTCGGTTGGATCTTATCTGGTAAAATACACAGCGAAAATCAAGAAATCAACCATGGCGAGACGTGTCTCAATGTAGTAAACCTACATTTAGCTCAATCAAATGAGAACGAGCTTCTCAAAAAGTTTTGGGAGCTAGAATCCGAACCATCCTTTGATAGGACTAAACACTTAACTCTAGAAGAGAAAAGGTGTGAGGAACTTTTTGTTAAAACTACTAGACGCGATGAGTCTGGTAGGTACATCGTCAAACTACCCTTCAAAACGGAAAATCCACTTTGTCTACACGGTAATCTAAAGAATATCGCGCACAAGCGTTTTCTCATGTTAGAAAGACGTTTGTTGAGAACACCCAATCTCAAAACTGAGTATTCCAAGGTCTTGGAGGAGTACCTCAGTTCGGGCCATGCAGAAGTGGTAAAACCAAGTGAAGTGGTCAAAAAAGGAGTAGTATATCTACCACACCACGCAGTGGTTCGTCAAGATAAGTCTACTACAAAGGTTCGCATGGTGGTTGACGCGTCATGCACCGATTCTAATGGAATATCACTGAATAGTGAATTAATGGCGGGTCCTACTCTCCAACCAGAATTACGACATTTGATAATGCGATGGCGGTGCTACCCGATCGCTCTTGTAGCCGACATTGTTAAAATGTATCGGCAGATAAAGGTGGCTGATGAAGACGTAAATTTTCAACGTATATTTTGGCGTGAAAATCCAGATGTTGCATTACAACATCTTCGTTTCTTGCGAGTAACCTTTGGTACTTCCTCAGCCCCATTCCTTGCTGTTCGGTGTCTCCAGCAGCTAGTCAACGACGAGGGTTCTGAATTCCCATTAGCGGTCTCTAGAGTCCTTAATGAATTTTATATGGATGACTTGATGACCGGCTGTCATTCCATAGCTGAAGGATTAGAAATTTATGAGCAAATTACTGCTTTGTTGAATCGTGGAGGATTTCCACTTCAGAAGTGGTCAAGTAATAGCAAGGACTTACTGAAGGTAATCAAAAAGGAGGCAGATGATGTAAACCAGAATTTGGAACTAAAGACCGACGACGTTATAAAGATTCTCGGTCTGAAATGGAATAGAGAAGCTGACGAATTTCGTTTTACGGTCGATCTCCCTCCTTTGCAAGCTCCTGTAACAAAACGAAAGATGATCTCTGATATTGCTCGTCTCTACGATCCTTTGGGGTGGATAGCACCGGCTATAACCACAGCCAAAATTTTTATTCAACAGGTGTGGCTATCCAGCGTCGATTGGGATAGTGAACTTCCGGATTCAATTCTTAAGAACTGGACGAATTTTCGAAATAATTTGAAAGCGCTCACGGAGTTTCGAGTACCGCGATGGATCCACTCTAAGAAAGACGACAAGGTATTTGAATTGCACGGGTTTTCAGACGCATCCAATGTGGCGTATGCAGCAGTCGTCTACGGGCGCATTATTGATGAACAAGGAAGAGTTCATGTACATTTGATCACCTCCAAAACCAGAGTGGCTCCAATCAAACAAGTGTCCATCCCACGCCTAGAGCTGTGTGGCGCGGTATTACTAGCCAAGCTTTTAAATGAAGTGGCAGATACTCTTCAAGTACCTAAGGGGAATTTACATGCATGGACCGACTCATCAATTGTGCTAGCCTGGCTAAGTAGTCATCCTAGCCGGTGGAAGACCTTCATCGCAAACAGGGTATCGGAGATCCTCACCATTACCGATAGAGATCAATGGTCTCACGTTGCCTCTAAGGAAAATCCTGCAGATCCTGCATCTCGAGGAACACAACCGTCGGAATGTGTTGAGAATTTGCTCTGGAATCAGGGTCCCGAGTGGCTGCATCTGGAAGAAATTAATTACGGAAAAAGCGAGTTGAAGGATACAAACCTGGAAGAGAGAAAACCTAAAATTATGATTCATGTTACTACAAGTAACGAAGAAAACGATGAGCTATTGTCTCGATTTTCGTCCTTAAGGAAACTTACCAGAGTGCTGTCGTTCTGCCGAAGGGTCCTGCGGTGGAAAAAATCTGAAAAAGACAAAACTGAAAATATTAATACACAGTTAACAGCAAAAGAAATCAACGATGCTTTACTTACCTGTATAAAAATGTGCCAAAAACAGAGTTTCTATGAAGACATTGATAATTTGCAGAATCGTAGAAAATTAAATAAGAAAAGCAAACTTACTTCTCTGAATCCATTCTTAGACGCAAATCAAATCCTCAGAGTTGGCGGAAGGTTACAAGGTGCTCAGGTCAATGAAGACATGAAACACCCGTTTATTCTCCCTCACAGGTCGCCGTTGACACAATTAGTGATTGACGAAGCACATAAGACTACGTTGCATGGAGGGCCTCAATTAATGCTTAACTATTTGAGAAGCCGGTATTGGATTATTGGTGCAAAGAGTCTCGTTCGTCGGTTTGTGCACAAATGTGTGACTTGCGTCCGCCACTATGCTCAAACGAGCCAACAAATGATGGGACAGTTGCCCATATCAAGGGTAACCGCACATAGACCTTTCCACAGATGTGGCGTAGACTATGCTGGCCCAATCAGCGTGCGCCTTTCAAAGGGTCGCGGTTATCACTCCACAAAGGGCTATATATGTCTGTTTGTGTGTATGGCCACAAAAGCCATACACCTCGAAATGGTCAGTGATATGACTGCACAAAGCTTTTTAGCTGCATTTAAAAGGTTTGTTGCACGAAGGGGTCATGTTGCAGATTTGTGGAGTGATAATGGCACTACCTTTGTGGGAGGCGCTAGGGAATTAAAGAAACTGTTGGATGCGGAAAGGTCTAGTGTTGTGGCTGAAATCGCGGATTGGATGTCTTCAAATGGCACTAATTGGCACTTCATCCCTCCCCATTCTCCAAACTTTGGAGGATTGTGGGAAGCGGGCGTGAAGTCAACCAAGCACCATCTCAAGCGGGTCATAGGCAATAGCACCCTCACATTTGAAGAAATGACAACAACCTTGTCACAAATTGAGGCGTGCTTAAATTCAAGGCCTATTTCTCAGTTATCTAATAATCCAGGCGATCCAAATCCTTTAACACCCGGACATTTCCTAGTAAGTGAGCCATTAGTGCTCGTACCCGACATTAATTATGAACATGCCAACATTAGCAATCTCAAAAGGTGGCATCTTACTCAACGTATGGTCCAGGATTTTTGGCGTAGATGGTCTCATGAATATTTGACGCAGCTGCAGCACAGATATAAATGGTCAGACCAAATCCCAGAACCTGAAGTTGGAAGTGTTGTGCTTGTTAAAGAAGACGACCTCCCACCTGCCAGGTGGCTTTTTGGTATTATTACTGAAAAACATCCCGGTTTGGACAAATTAACGCGAGTAGTCACAATTAAATATAAAGGTAACTTTATTAAGCGACCTGTGTCGAAGTTAATCGTTTTGCCTTTAGATAGCGAGTGATTTAACGAACACTATAATTTACTAGTACTTACAATTAAATGTAATTTTAAGGTGTAACTAAGTCGTAAGCTTATTTTGCATTGTTGTTATCTTTGCACATTACACAATTTATTGTATTTTAATTTAGAAGTTAGTTTGTTCCTTTAGTTGAGCAAAATTTTTCGTTTACATTTATAAAGTAGATTTTTTTTCTGTTTCTGTTTATGCTTGTATTATTTCCGTTTATGGACTTGGTCCATGGCGGGCGGAATGTTAATACTTCTATTAACATTATACATAAATTTAGTTTAGGTAAGACGCCGCTAGATGGCGTTGAACCTTTTATGCAATTTTCTAAAACGCGCTATTGAGTTGTTCACGGAAACTGTATAAATGTGGAGTGATTTACAAATAAAAACGTATTATTGGAACATACAGGCTGTTTCATTTTGGGTATTTTTGGGACGCTATACACTTTATTTATTTATTTTTATTTTGTATTTTTTTTTTTAATTTATACAATTTTATTTTTTTTATATTTTTATTTTTTTGTTTATATTTGTAAAATTGGCACACTACGTCTCCCGCTCCGATTAGCTTTCCTCTAACTCTAAGGTTGTCTGGAAGAGATCGCTCTTAGCGATAAGACCGCCTTTGCTCACATTAGTTTTAAGTTGTTTATGTACTATTCTTGTTCTTGTGTGTGAGCAATAAAGTGTTTATCTATCTATCTCTTTTGTTATGTCGTTTAGTAACGTTTCGTTTTTTTTTTTCAGTTTTGTGGAATCTTTTATCAGTAGTATCTGTAATTTCGATAATTTTTACAGCACGTTGCCTCGAATGTCCGAATATAGTAAGCAAATAATCGCATCGCCAGATATTGAGTACGAGTAATACAAAAAAATATAGAATGCAAAGAATTACGAGTAACAGTGCGCGTCTTTACAAAAACCTGGAGTATAACCAACTTCAGGTTTTTGTACATATGAATTCGTTGCTTTCGAGGACGAAGATGGTCTAGTTTATCCCACCTGAGATGCTATCCAAATAGTAATAGTAGGTGAGTTAAAAATACGAGAAGTAATAAACAAATCACAAAAATTTCACACGAGGCCGTCATTAAGTAAACCTCTTCTGATTAATAAGATTTTACCATATTTTGTCAGCAGTAACGTTTTAATTTGTCTTGCCATTCATCAATTTGATCAATCACCAACAGAAAACCATCTAATAAAATTAATTAAGACAGTCGCAAGTTCATATACTGACGTGCGTTTTCATTATTTAAGTTAATCGATAAGATCTTCCATTACAAAAGGATGTTATATAATAAGCTCATTTTACTGGAAGGACAATAATTTTAATGTTTCAAATCGATTAAAAATTAAAGTCTTAATTTTTTTTAAGTAATCTACATTTTTTTAAACCAATACATTTTTTAAATTATTCTATTATTTTTGTACTATATTAATATTACGACTAAGTACTTGTAATCAACAAATACTTGAACAAAAATTATTATTTTTAGAATCGATTAATTGAATGGAATACGCGTATTTACGCGTATTCCGTTCAAATAAATTAAGCAAAATATGTAATTAGTATAGTTCATTGCAAATGTTACCTATAAAATATTAACTTTGTATAAGAATTTAGCATGTAAGCGTTTTGGTTTTTTACTGTAAGTTTACATTGTAAGTTATAATTAAATAAATAAATAAATAAAAAATAAATAAATAAATTTGAACAAAAATTTCGAATTTGTAATTATTGGAATTTTTAGGATAAACTCTTTAAATATACATCCAATTAATCAATTCGATGATGATAAATGCAATTGGAAACGACAGCTGGATGTGGCGAAATTTTGTCCATCAATGGAGGCGCGTACCGATACGTTTGACCAATCTTTCTGGCGTAGGTATTTCTTTACATCCTGTTACGGTCGTCAGATATTCATGCGCAGGTGTACGCAAATTAAACTTTCGTTAATACAATTATGTAGTGGAGAATTGAGGTTATAAAAAACGAGCCCTGTACCCCACTTACGGTGGGGCCGGGCTCAGCCTGCGGCGCGTGGTCGGTTTCAGTGTACGGGGTGTGCTCATGCTCTTCGGTGGCACAGCAGTTAATACTATGGGCGTTTGATGAGGAGGTCGATATATGCCAATTTAAGAAATTGGTTTTGGTCTGAGTACTCTGGGTTATCGTTGATTTGGCATTCATAGTACCTACATAGTACAGCAAATTCGGCAGTTGTTTGGCATTTTTTCCCCTTAAATACTTCTCTTTGGCATAGCTTTCAAGAAAATGAAATCTAACATAGAGACGGTTGAGATACAACAACGCTATAATAAGTATCTCATTTCCACTACATCGAGAAACATGCTTTACATTTTTACAATTGTGAGATCTTGTACTCGTAATCTATTATATCTCTATCCGGTATCTAGCTTATCCGGCCTATTTTTATTATCCGATCGGATACCGGATAGTAGAACAATATCCGGCCGGATATCGAATGTTTAAAACAGAAAATTCATAATCAGTACGCCAAATAAATTGATTTATTGATTAACGATGATAGTAATACGATAAACAGCAACTACAGGATCGTTGACAATCTGTTTATTACTTGTAACTGAAACAACTATGAAGTTAAATAACGTTATCTGTAAATTCGGTACTCAAATTTTATTAAAGCAAATTATGGTGGATGAAGACCAGTATTTCTGCGTTAAGTGGTAAAAGTTGATTCTATTTATTTTCATAAACGAGACCAGCTTCTAAGGACAGTTCTTCACTATAAACTCTTTGCAAACTATGTTAAATTTTGAGTAGGTACTACTTGTTATTGCCAGAAGACCAAATGAAAGGATCGCGATCGATTTGATCTATTTACAAATACAATGTGTACCTACAATAACGAATCGTAAAAGAAGTTTAAAATTTTTTTGGCAAATCTGGGATCAAGGCTTAGAATTGGTTAGATCACAAAAACTTAATGAAATCAAAAATTAAACAAAATAATGAAGGAGTGTATCAAGTGTTGGCTTATACTTATAACAACTAGAAAAATTTAATATACCCAAAGGATAATATACTATATAATAATATATTTGCTTTTTTTCTTCGCCACCGCGAGAAATTTGCATTCAGCGCAACAATCAAACAGCATTGATGTTAAAATATAGCCAAATGTGCGATTTTTTTTACTTTTAACATTTCTCTGTTCTGTATTTGTTTGTATTATCGAGTAAATTGATCGTTGTTATAAAATATATAAAATCAAGCGACCACAACAAATGAAATCGTCAATGTGAAAGTGCAGTCATTCACTAATCAATCAATTACGGCGATGCGCGCTGTAAAACAGTCGCGGCATGTGTACGGCAGTGGGTCTGATACCCGGCGGTCGGATATCCGGCTATCTGGCCTAAGTGCTCACCGGATATCCGATATCCGGCCAAATCACTATCAGTTTCATCTCTAGTACATGTACAGAATTTTGCCGAACATTCCAGACTTACGATGCGTAATCGCGCGTTACTTGTTTACTTCATTCAAGAAGACCGGTAGGCTCCGGCGCTAGCAGAGCCCTGTCGGATTGAGCGTCTAGGGCGAAGTCCCGATTAACAAATGACGCCAAGTCGAGGAGCTTAAAACTATTTACATTTTTTTTTTTTCATTTCATATTTTTTACACTTAGTTTCATTGCTATTGTAATATAATACATAGAGTGCAAGTGTTTTGAAGTACCAAATACTACAAACCATCTAGTATATAATTATACACTCGATGCTACAACCTTACATTGATATTTATAACAATGGGAGGTAAAACTACTGCAAAGGATTCACAAAGCTTACTAGATCTTTTAACAAACGTAGTTCAACGTAACGTCAAAACGTAGTTAAAGGCCAACTCACCAAGTTTAAGAACTGTATCTAAACCACTTGTTTCTAAGGAAAGGCTGACATTGATTGAGTTAGCGAAATTATCACTTAAACTTGATTGAGTCATATCGAGTTCTTAGGTTTTCTTAGGTTTAGGTTGGTTGAGTCACTTTCAATTCGGGTTGACGAGTTGCAAGGTCAGATAGAAGTGTTAAAACGTGGAAATTTGAACAGGGATGTGGTCGACCGGGTTGTGATTGTGCAGTCATTTGTCACAAACATTGCTATTGCTCAGAGTGTAATACAAAATCATAACGAAATCTCGCGTTAAGATGATAGCCTCAATTCAGGTCACTCGTCTTCACCCCAATGCCATGGCGATTATGATACTCCAGGATTCAAATTGCCCCAAATACAGATTGCTAAGTTTGACGGATAATTTTTTCGGTGACTGAATTTCGTGACACGTTCCTGACTGTAGTAGCATGATGAAAGGATTCCGATGAAGAAAAGTCCGTCGTGAAATATTTTTATATGTTTTTACGACAAAACCGCCAGGAAAGCGTACTTAAGGTCCGTAAGGTACGTAATTTATATTTTTATATTTAATATTTATTTATAATTGATGCCATTTTTATATTTAATATTTATTTATATAAGAATATGTATTGTGTACCGGCACAAAGATTTAATGGATTCAACGACGTAGACGAGTTTTTGAATCAATTTGAGGCCATTACCGTATTAAATAATTGGTCTGATATGCATAAGAGATACGTGTTTGCATTGTATTTGGAGGGGCCAGCTCTACAATGGTGTAAAACGTATTTTTCTTCATACATGACGTATCATGTATCTGCACAGAAGCTAAGAGAGGAATTTCCCTCACAAATAGATTACGCCCAAGAATTTTATTAGAGGCGACAGGAGCCTAATGAATCGCTGATAAGTAATTTTTATAGTTTAGATAAGTTAGCGACGAAAGCGAATATTCAAGATGTTCAGTTTATTAGACATTTCTCGAATTCTTTGATACCCAATTTTCAATGGATGCTGGCTAGTAATT